CTGTGAAGGAAACACAGAAAAATTCCAATACTAGAACTCTAACTCTAAAAGCAAACTACTTTAATCCAAAATACTTTATCATTCAATATTCACCGGCAGAAAACGGGGTAAGATACCGGCAGTTACTTTTACTGCCCAAGTTTGGTCTTATGTATTTTTTATTGTTATGTTCCTTTTAAAGGTCGTTATATTATAGTGTAAATTTTATTTGACTTTGACATTGATGTATTCGCTGTTATTTCCTGACATGTCCAACTGTATTCACTTCAGTTATGGACTAAAATAAAGTTGAAAGTTACGCTTTTATAAGTCCCTTTATTAACACACAGGCTTCTTCGGCTGCATCATGAATACGACGAATTAACGAAGACATACAGCCTTTTAAATATACTATAGTAATTTCACTCGAATAAATAGGATCCTCGACTAAAAATATTATCTACAGAGCGTCTGCTGTCACATCCAACACGTAGTTGTCAAGACCACAGATTTTTTAGGACAGAAGAGGGTAAGAGATGCCTCAGGGCATTAGACAATTTTACTAATAAATTAATCTACTAATTACCTAAATTCTTACCTTTATGTGTTCACTTACTTCTTTTTTCCCTTTTGTGTTAATTATATCGCAGAAATAGCACTCAGGCCACAAGAGAGGTAAAATTTGTGCGGAGCTTCAGCTCAACAACACACATCCGAAAAAAAAACTTTACACTCTATAACTCTCAAACACCCAATTCACATTTTGGGACCGAGACCAGCAAAATGGCGACGTTCAAATCGCATGGAGTCAGATACCTTACTAAAGAGTTGACTTTGAGATAACAACCGAAGTTCAAGAAAAACGAGAAAATGTAGAGCATATTCTTTATGTTTACAGTTCGAAGAAAATAGGTATTACTCCACAACATGTTTGAATATAGTAATTTTTCACACCGATAAACATAAACAGCATGACTTCAGTAGTATAAATTGACGGCTGGTTCTCAAACTTGTCAAATGAGCTGCGATGCCCTACTAAAGTCAATGCCGTCAATGCTATCAAAATAGTGTTCGTTACAAGTATTATATTTTCGGACATTATCCATCGTCTTGTTTCTTTTTGAAAACACAACCTACTCAGTTGGGTCAAATACGTCCAACACACAGAGCTCGACAAGATGATGGATAATGTCCAGAAATAACTGTATACTACTTGTAGCAATATACCAACTTTTAGATCTTTTATTGTTCAGTGTTTGACTGACCATGTTGAGGCCACTATCTGAAATTATTTGTATTACAGCCATAAACATCAAACATGAATCATGTTAAAACATCTTGTGTGAGAAGTAACATGCATATTTTTGAAAAGTATGTTCACTCTTAATTGAAAGTTTTGTGAAAATAGTCTGATCCTTGGTTCCTGAATTATTATTTTACAAGTGCACTGGTATTCGTAGAACACAGGGTAAAAACAAATTATTTTATGAATGCTTTTTATGTCAACACGAAATGACCATATTGTCATGTGGAGTTCTGGTTATAGGGAATACGAACATCCGCGAACATCAAGCTACGACGTCCCACGGATCAATACAAGTACTTGTCTCATAGGTATTAAGTGCCATCTATTCGAGAGGCTTACACTTCATAGCACTGATTCTTGCTTCGATAGCTTAGTTGCCTGCATATTCTCTACTATTCCTTGGGATCGCTCGGATTTAATGAGTTTTCACACTCTGGCCGTTGTCAGGTACACTATAGATCTACAGATTACCGGGTTGTTACGTCGATCAGATGTAGCTAACTTCAGTCACTGCCTTATATTAGAATACGTAGTCTCACAAAGCAACTGCATAATGAGGAGCTTCATAACTTGTACTCTTCTCCAAGTACAATTAAGAGCACCATTGACTTGGAGTGGATTAGGTGTACTGGTTGTTCACTTCACTACCAACGAATAGTAGATGGTATTGTGAGATGTCTCACAAGAATTTACATTCCTTGGTGATGTAAGCGAACAAACATTTTGATGACTCAATCAGCCAGTCAAAGGGCCACAAAGAGGAATATTAAGATACTGACACATCAGTAA